TCATTCTCTTCTAGACGTTCTGCAAACAGTAAGAAACTCATTGCAAACTTTCTGTGAAATAGATTCATTATGTGTTAATACCATGGAGACATTTTTCATTTTGTCACATTTTTCTGGAATCTTCAAATCCTTCTTAACTTTCCAAGCCACAATGTCGAAAATCCTAAAGAAAAAATACCCCTATCAATTCTGTAGCATCAAAAAGCCAGAAATAATTTTTGTTTCGAGGGGAAGGGGGAGGAATCACACAGAAAAAGTGCAAAATTAATTTTATAGAGAAAACGGATGCATATTCCAAGAATTCCAAATAATCTGAGACATATACATGGGGAAAAAACTTTTATTATGAAAAAAATTAAAAGAGGACAATTTTTAATTAATTGCAGAGCTATTTTGCTTTTGCTAAGAGCTGTTTTGTAAATTGTACTTTATAGTATTATACCTTGTTTATTTTTCAGATTCAAAATTTTGTATAATAAGTGGTCACAATGGAACTTTATAATATGACATCAAAAAATAAAAATGTGTTATTTTTTTAATATAATTTCAATTATATTACCATTATTTTAATGATAATCATCAAATTTACAATTCTTAAAAAAAAAAAAAAAAAAAAAAAAAAAAAAAAAAAAAAAAAGTTGAAAAATTCCCAGATCTTGGAATTAAAAGTTTTCTATAGAAACCAATCTTAAAATCACCAAGATGTCGCAAAATTTAGAACAGTTTAGTAAAAGAATTCAATCCCCCAAAAGCGAAAAGTTGTTTAACCTTCTAAAACCGGACTGAAATTCTTGTGATATAGCCTTCAGACTGGCGCGATTCGAAACAGTTTTGCCCCATCTTTGACAATTTCCTAATGAGAAAAGTCGTTAGTCCCCCTTCATAGATGCAGTAAAATTTACATGTTTGTCGGACGCTGCCCCATAGTAGATGGGTTGCTAGATTTGGGTTTTTTTGGATGATTATTTTGCTTTCATTTAAATGAAGTTCTAAATAAATAGTGCGTAAATAAATATGCAGTACTGGATGCATATCCAGTGCACTATTTATTTAGAACAAAATGTATGCAATGTTTATATTTCACTCACTATTTCTGAACAATCTCGTAAATAATTTGTGAATTTTTTAACTTTGTTTTCACTCTTCATTTATATTTCGTATTTTCGTATTAGAAATTAGAAAGCGAGAACAAAATTTTAACAAAATATAGTAAATACGAACTAGCTTTGTAAGTCTGCAGGCCGGAATGCGATTTTTAATAACATATTTTTCATTAATAAAATAATGGTAATGACTAATTTAATGAAATAATAATAATAATATTATTACCATTAGATGATTAGAATGAGATCCAATACAATTAGATTTTGAGATGAACTTACAGCAATAACATAAGAATAAGAACTTACAGCTTTACATAACAATAACAGAGATTTAAGTCTGTTTTTTTCGATAATTTTGTTATTATAATATAAAAAAGAAAATCTGAGATACATTGGTTGCGTTTCATCATTTAACTTTAACAAATATTACATTGGACTATCAGGCAAAGGAGGTGTATCTTTAACGAGAATTTTTCTTTGTAAAATTGGCTTTTGTTTATGTTAGCAGAGAAAAGAAATTCGTGACTTACATGCAATCATCAAAAGATTTTTTGAGAACAGTTTTAAATGTTCATGAAGAATTAATTATACGTCAATTTCTTTTCATAGGTAGAAATTTCATCTAAAACCATCGTTATATCTAGAGGTTGAAGTCCTTCACTTTCAACGAATATTCTATTTGCACATAATACATTTTCTAATTTATTTTAGAAAGAGTAATCTTTCACGTTTTCAAAAGAATAAGGACATACTGGGTCTTGACACTTACAATGCAGTAAATCTGTTTTTCATATTTCTTCCAGTAATGAAAACGATTACCCTGGAATATTTTTCAAAGCAAAATTAAAACAACCCTTTACACCAAATTTTGCATAAAGTATCTTCTCGTATATTTTTTTATTTAAAGTGTGAAGTTTTCTCTTTGAAAATATAAAAAATCATGAATGGAGCAAAATTAATTCATGAGAAATAACTTTGAAATGCAATAATTCCATCGTAATATGAAATAGTGGAGAAAAGTGCAATACAGTTTATTTATTCACAATAATCCCCCTCCCTCATATGCATAATTTATGTACTGTTGATTGAGAAATATAGGTTAGTAAATTAAACCGGTTATTTCAATACTTTTTCTTTATCATTTTTTTTACGGGCCTTTCAGTAGAGCGGTAAAGGTGGCTGAACACTTGTAGCTCGCTTGGGTTTGAATCCAGGCTAAAGGGTTGGATTCATGGTTTTTGTGTAACGTAAATGCAAGCCAGCTTCCCTTAGAAAGTCCTCCGCGAAGGCATCCCTTCCCTTATACAGGTAATTGTTGTGTGCTTTGATGTAATTCAGTAAGCGAACAAAATTAATCCAATCAAACCCGAAGAATGGGTTGATTACATGTGGAGTTTTCCACCAGGAACGTAAATGCGAGCAATTTTCTCTTAAAAAAGGTTTACACAAAAGCATCCATCCCCTTAAGCAGAGAGCGTTCGCGCGCTTTCCTGTAATCCAATCCTAATTCTTATACATTTAATAGTAAGTTGACATACACCTTATAACAGACAAAATAACAAGCTTTTTTTAAAAAAATTTTTATTAACTTGCCTGAATTCCCTTTATCTCTTGAGAAGTATAAGTATTTCAGCAAATAAAACTGGCCGGAATTTTATACAATGTAACTCATGTTTTGATTCAATTTAGAAGTAAGGTGAGCTTTACTGATATTTAAACACTTTTTGTCAGATCTCATCCTAAAAGAGGGTTTAAAGATAAATTGATTTTACTTAATTTACAATCAATGAAAATCAATGAAAGCAATCATTGAATGAATGAAAATCACAAAAACTATTATGCATTCAATTGTCTCTTATTTATCTCCTGATAAATCAGACAAAATTGCCTATATAATACAAGCACTTTGAAAGAGTTAACAGTTCTTAAGGGTTTTACGCACTCAAAAAAAATGTCAAAATAAAATCTTATTCATAAGTATAAAAAGGTGTTGGTGTATTTAATTATGGCAAAGCACACGAGGGCTATCTGCCTAAGGGGAGGGATGCCTTTCGTGGAGGACTTTCTAAGGGAAACTGGCTCGTATGCACGTTACACATGGGGAAAACCACGAAAAGTATAAAAAGGAAGTAAACGATAAAAGCAGTTTTAGCTATTTTCTAGAAGAGGCATTAAATCTAAAAAATTAATCTATTCTTATTTGCTATGATTAAAAAGCATTAAATCTGGCAAGCTTAAACAGCGTGCAAAATCGCTGACGTTTTAATCATAGCAAAAGTCAGTACTAAAAAAATTAGAGATGGCCTCTATTTGATTTTCAAGTATATTGGCGCGAGACGAAACCTGCGGTTTTTGCCAAAATGTAGCCAAACTGATAAGAAGAGGGAAATAATGCGTAGCCAGTGGCTATTCTGAGCAGCGACAATGAACCACCCTGAGATCTATTGATAGGCGATTCTCTAAAATAGGGGGGGAATGGGTGGTACGACAGTTGTACCAGAGCCGGAGTTAAGGAAGGTCATTTTCCTGGTACAACTGCTGTACCAGCCGGCTTCAGAAAGTTAAGAGCCCTTCATTAGATGAAAATGAAATAATTTCAAAATGCTTATGTTTCACTTCTTTCTCAGAAACTCCTTATTTGGCCATTTATATGAACTGATTATATCCCATGAACTTACTCACCCATTCAAAAGATACCCACATTTCTTAATGAATCACCAAAAATATTCCTCCAAAATGCTAATTCACGCTCAAAATGGCAGCTGACAGAAATTTCTGATGATTAAAATTAAGGATCTTCTGCCAATTATGGCTGAAATTAAGGACCAAAAATCGGTTTCAAAAAACCTAAGGACTTTTAAGGATTTTTTATTTCTTATTTATTTCTATGTCATTTGTTCTTTGTTAGAAGTTTTGCCCCCCTTTTTTCACAGTCCCATTTTGAGTTTTATAATTTTTGCAATTCCAACAGATGCAAAATAATTTTTATAATTTTAACATTGTAATATCATTACATTATATTTTTTTGCTAAATTTCTTTTGTGTGTTTAATTAAAAAATATAACTCGCTTATATATAATTTGCAAATTCTCTGACCTTTTCCGGTTTTCCAGGTAGCGTGGTAACCCTGTATAATTATTTTTAGATTATTTATTAATTAAATCTTTCGAGCAATTTGCACAGGAACAATTATTAAGTTCCTTTTACATAATTTGTTGTAATAATATATATATATACAAATGCACATTTCCCTGCACAAGATGCTGTAAAAATATGAAAAAAACATTGACTGCAATATTTTACTAATCTAACTAATAAATAAAATAACAGTAATGAAACTCCTAAATGAATAAATCATACAAAATATAATCCAGCATGTATCTACTTGTTTATAAACCTGTATGTTCTTTCCAAGAATCAATCATCCAGGGACTTGAGAAAACATTTTAAAAACAAGAAAAATCATCAAATATTATTGTAATTTGCATATTTGTGTTTGCGTAACTACAGAATTTAAGCAGCTAATTTTTATCACTATTTATTTTTAGATAAGCAGACTCATTATTATTTTGAGAATAAAAAAAGATGTTGATAAGTCGAGCAGGCCAGCAAACAAGCAGTAAAGTTGTTGAACGCTGGTGGTTTGGTTCTGATTTCGAATTCTGGTGAATAGGGTGGCTACATGTGCGTGGCATTTCCTATCTGTAAAGTGGATGCAAACCAGTTTGCCTTAAAAATCCTCCAAAGGGCATCCATTCCTTTGGCAAATAATATGACTACCCTAAGAACAAAAGATCTGCCAGATATCTATAAATTGAAGTCACTGAAAGAGAATGATATTTAATCCAATATATATATACACCTGATGAAATTTAAACAAAAAGTAAACTACACTGATATGAAGACAAATAACAGCTTTATTTTACAGTCATTTAAAAATATCAGGGAAAATTATACACATTAAAGAAACTGCATTTGTTTACTTGAAATGCTCTTTTTAGTTCATATTTTAAATGCAATTGAGATCACCACATAGAAGTTAAATAATTATTAATCACCGTCGACCATAGTAGAGATCAAAAACTATTTGCTTTATCCAATGGAAAAATTAGATTTTTTTTTAAAAAAAATTAATAAATGTGTAGTTTTTAGATTTTGAAATCTACATAAAATAATTTTATAGAGATTCTAAAAAACCATTTAGAACTTAAGAATATATACTTTGTTATGAATATTGAAAAACTGTTTGTGATTATTTGCTAAACTAGTATAAAACTGTACAATGCAATGGAGCCTAATATTATTGAGACATAACAATTGACATTAAGAGCAAAAACTAGAGACATTGCTCTTATGGCTTTTGGCACTGTCTCTCCTTTAAAACAAATATCAAGGCTCAAAGATATCACAAAATGTCTTCTCAGTACTATGCAGGACAGGCACACAAGGTAAGGCAATGATGAAGTTTGCATCATATGAACAAGATGACCTGAGCTAGGACACAAATGTAACATACTTTACATTAATGAAGTTAGCTGCATGCTCACAGGAATCCCAAAGCACAGGGATTTCCCACATCCACTGACCTCAGAACTGGAGGACGGAGTTGACTTGTTTGTTAAGGCAAAACAAGGCATGTATGTGCTACCATATGTACAAAGGCTAAAATCAGCACCAATCAGCCATATAAGAGAAGTCTTTGAATAAGCACTGCTCTTCTTTTGTAAGTGGACGTGGATCTTTTGGAGGTGTAAGAATAGGTTGTTCAGATGTGAACTCCTCATCAAAATTACTAACATCTTCAGGACTTTTCTAAAAAAATGTGGAAACAGCTAATTAAGATAAAAAAAGTAATCAAAAAATCAATAAGAATTCAATTTAAGCTATACAGTCAAAAGTCGTTAATCCGGACTCGTCGGGACTTCGGCGATTCCGGATTATAGATCATCAGTTTAAATCTGGTAAGATGGCATGCAGAAATTACAAAATTAAAAATATGAAACCGTAATTTATGAAATAAAGAACAATTATGATCTAAAGGGTATCAAAATTTACAAAAAGAAAAAGCTTAATATTTATTTGTTTACTTTATTAAACATTTTCTTCAATGTAAGTTGCTTCGTTTCATGTGATAATACTTTCTCTTTAATTCTATTAAACAGACATAATTTCTTGTTTAGTTACAAAGTTCCACTGTTCAAGTCCTATGATTGCTGTGTTGAGAATACCGACTAATTTGTCAATCGAAATGTTTTCATTTTCAATAACCTGTGGGTCACTTTCTTCACTATCGGAATCGAATTATAATGACGAGGAACTTGATTTAAATCATATCAAAGACGGAGTACATCGAGATGAAATACTACACTTAGTAAGGAATTATAAGCCAAATAAAATAAAAACATCTGCCCTGAAGATAAGGATAGTGCTGACAGATCAACTTCCAATCTGCAGCCTGAAATTGATAAACAGATTTCGGATTTCAAAACATACTTTCGCTTTGTAGATACAAATTACATATTAGTAAATATATATCGAAAATTCTATTTGACATAATCGAAAGTTTAAGCTTACTTTTATGAAATTGCTCTAACAGTCCACAAAAAATAATAAGCCAGATCCAATTCGAAGATTAAGGAACAACGCAATCTGCAACATTAACTGAATTAAATAATTTTTGCTTAGATTATACCGTCCGTTACACATTAAACGCGCATGCGCAAAAACATATTCGCAGCCGTAAAGGTCTTACGCGTACTCGTAAACGCCTGTGCGCATGCGTGAACGCGACGCATGCGCAGAAAGTTTGTAGCTTTGAGGTCCGGATTATAGATCATTCCGGATTATGGGTGTCCGAATTAACGACTTTTGACTGTATATACTAAAAACCCTTCTTGAGGTAATAAAAAGTAATTAATTCAATAATAATAATATTGCACTTTGATATGTAATATTGATATGTAAATATTTCTATGATGATATATGAAATTCATACAAAAATCTAAACATTATGACATATAAAAACATTGCAATATACACACATATATATACCACAACTGCCAACCTTAAAACATGAAAAACCTAAAGGAAGGTTCACCGACCAAAAAACAGAAGTTTCCAGAAGGTTTTCATGCTGTGCAGCAGCTGTAATCTTCATCATTTCCATTACAAAGTTGGTCAAATAATCTGATATGCAATGTATTGCTTCTAATCTTATTGGCTGCTCTAATATTGCGATGAAGCAACAAAAAACAGGCATTCATTTACAAATATTACAACCAAATGCTAATGATAAATAACACAATGTACAGGGAGTACATTTCGTATTGCTTATTTCAAATGTGCTATGACACCCATAGGATGCCCTATCATTGTTGGAGCTACATCAGTAGCAGATGACAAAATATTACAAACAGAAATTTCTTTCTCTAGAAATAATGTATTCATGGTACTAAATATCGATTCTCCCTTTGTACTGGTTTTCCAAATTTTTAGCAAATAATAACTATTGACAATTTTTTTTCTTTTTTTATGAATCAAACATATCATAAGAGTAGTGCTTCATTATTTGGTAGATTGATTCATCCATCTAAATCTGCAAGTCTATGCAATCGCATAATGATATTTCAGTGTCTTTAGCCATTTCATCTATTCTTCTTTGCATCAAATTATTAATCAGACAAATTTTTCTGATAATACTTGACAGTGTCTTCAGATGAAAAACAGTTTTTGTTACTTTTCTTTGACTATCAGCAAGATTAATTCCTCTTCAACTGCATGTGGTTTTCTTGCTTTTAAAATTAACAACCAAATACTATATGAGGTTCAGAGTCCATCACCTTGTTTAGATGACGACACAAAAACATTTGGTAGAGTTGGCTCTTTTAAATATTTCTTTTTTCAGTCCTTGAAAATAGGATAATTCTTTGTCCTTTTATTAGCATGTCTTTCATTGAAATGCTCTTGTAGCCTAGAAAGCTTCTGGCCTTATTTTGGGAAAATAAACACATAGGTAATGATAGGTTTGTACGTGAGTGCATAAACCTATATTTCAAATACTAGATTTTGGAATGCAAAATTTGCATGGTTTAAACAAATTAACTTTTCAAAAAATATATACATAGCTATAAAAATAATGGCTATAATAATTTCTATCAGTTTCATTCACGAATATAAATTACAGGGAAAGTAAACAAAAATTATACATGTGTTTGCTTGTTTATGATGCTGTTACACTTGCTCTGTAAATAAGTCATTACAAGCTTCTATACTTTTACTAAAATATGTGACTGCATAAATCACGCTTTTGTTTACCAACTTGTAAAGCCTCGTCACTGAATTAGGTACATGTATATCTAATGCTAATTAAAAATTTTTAATGCCTATTTATGTGATAACAATTAGGTAACAATTTTAGCTAGTTACATAAAATATTTGTTCATCAAAACAGTAGGTATTTTCAAAGTATTTTATTAATATTAATTCCTAAATAGGTAGTAAGCCACGGCTGCTCCTCTCAACTGTCTGAACATATCCCATTTCCCTTTGAGCCTGCTACCGAACCCATGGAAGGCTTCAGGGTTCACTGAGGGGTGCAGTACCAACCCCAATGGGAACGTATGATATACACTGTAAGAGCCACAATAATTTCTCTATGTTTTTTTCTTGTCTGGCCAGAAGTATTTTGGATTAGAGGCCAAAAGTATTTTGGATTAGAGTATTTTGGATAGGACTATTATCATGGTCTGAAATGACATCAAACAAGATAAAAGCGTTTAGAGATCATGACATGTGACATGATTATTCATTAGCTGTCTAATACACATGCATTAGACAGCTAATTGAATAAGATGGCAGGGCTTAGTGATTTCGAACATTGTACATCAATGGATATCATTTACGCAACATATCAGTTCATGAATTATCTGCCCTATTATAGGTGCTTAAATCAACTTAAGTGATGATGCTGAAAAATATAAATGTCTGAAATGTGAAAGGGCAGGAAAATAAAATGGTAGGCCATATAAACTTAATGATCACAGCAGCTGAGCTCTGAAAGGGTTGTTAACAAAACAAATCATACATCCTCAGTACAACACTCATTCATGAGTTTCAAAGTGCCTCTGGTGCTGTTGCTGGCACCATGATTATTTGCAGAAAAATAAAAAATATAGGCTTACATAGCCATGCAACTGCTCATAAATCCAGCATAAACACAGTCACTGTCAAACACTGGCTGCAGAAAAGCAAAACCAATTGTGATTGGATTGTAGAGTGATAAATCTTGCTATAAGATTAGGTGGTATAATGGAAGCACCTCTTTGGTTGATGCCAGTTTGGCGACAAACACAACATGATTAGGGCTGTTCTTTATGGCCTGACCTGAATCTCTTTAGTTCCTGTGCCTGGAAAAATGAATGCCGAGATGTATAGTGATAGTTTTTACAACTCTTAACTTCAACACTCTAGCATCAATCAGTTCTAGGAAAAACCATACCTATATCAATAGGATAAATGCTCTGTCTACACATAAGATTATGCTTCTGTGATTTGAAGAGCTAGGTGTTGAAAAACTGAACTGGTTTCACAGAACCCAATCTCAATCCCACAGAAAAATTTTGGGAAGAACTAGAATGTAGATTATATACCTGCCTAAACCTTTTCTCTTCCTCTTCAGAGACATTCATTTTCATATGCAAATATAAAGCGGTTCCTGCAGATATATATGCAGGAAGTCTTCCTGCATGAGTGCAGGCAATGACTGATGTCAAACAGCGGACTGACATCCTATTAATATATACCACATGAGTTCTCCGATTCTGCTGTATCTGGGATCTTTTGGCCAAATACTGTATCATAAAAACATTTTTTTAACATCTAATAATACCTAAATAAAGTTATTAATGAAGAAATAAATTCTAAGATCTAAATAAAGTGAATTTCTGCCGTTTATAAATATACAACTTATACAGAAAATATAAAACAACCACTTTATAGACATACTAAAAGTATAATTAATTAATAAAAAAACAAGCAATTTCTATATTACAATTATTTTATTTGAACTACTTAACACATAATATAGAGATGAATATAGTATGTCTCAGAAACTTACCACAACAGGTATAAATGGTGGTTTCACTTTTCGCATTAAAAGATCATCCCATCTAATATTCTAAAAAAGTTAATCAATGAATTAAAAAAACATAATATCTAACAAAAGGATCAAATTATATTGCTGAAATACAGCTGTTCGTGATTTTAATACAGTATCTCTTGGTTCAGAAGTTTGATATTTTTTCGCAATCAAATTTACATTTTTCTAATGCCTCTACAAATCTGTATGGGGAAGGGAGCAATATTTAATTTTTAGTCACCAGTCCACAACTAGGCACTTTAAAAAAGAGATAACACAGGTAGTCTAATAAATGGAATAAAGAGGATCATAGAAATGAAAAGTTTAACATAAGCATGACACAGAAACTTAAAAAAAAAAAAAAAAAAAAAAAAAAAAAAAAAAAAAAAAAAAAAAAACATTTTGTAACAAGAATAATCAAGCCACAGAACTAAAAACATTTCCTTGAAGATATCTTATTAGCTATTTTTATGTTAATATTACTATGTATTCTTATTACAATATAGGTTTCTTTTAAATATTGTAAAAGTTACTGGTAATTTATACATGAATACATTTTACCTGGTCCATTCTTACCAAACTGCTTTCGATGGAAATTAAATTATTCACATACTTTACCCCTCTTAATTTTGGTATGATAATATTAATTAAAAAAAAAGGCGGCAATACAGGAGTAAATATAACATTTATTTTTTAAATGGAGCGACTAAATTTGGCTGTTTTTTTAACTATCTCGTTCTTTCCATTTTTATTGCATGTTCAATTAGGGATATTTTATTGTGTGCTTGATTATGCTTGATATGTGATAAAATATTCATACTTTAATCTATCCTTATAAGGATACAATCTTCAAACCATAAACCACAAAAGAAGTTTTTCAATCTTGAAAGAGTATTAATATTTAAACCAGTGAAGTAATAGAATCATTTTCCTTTTATGTAGTCTTAATTATTTTTATTTATGTTTAAAACAGTGAAGTAATGGAATCATTTTCTTTTTATGTAGTCTTAATTATTTTTATTTACATCAAAGAAGAGATAAGTATACACTAAAATAAATATCAACCTTTAATAAGATTATTAATATATTTAGCTACATAAATATAAGCTGATATTGCAACTTCTATCAGCAAACTTTGTCAGTTTATCAGTAATCTAAAACATTTTTGCTGGATTCAAACAAACCATGCTTCACAGTATCTTAAATCCATGTTAAACATTAAAATAATTTATCAGAGAATAAACAGAAGTTTTAAAAGTTATATAAAGGCAGACTGGGTTACAGTTTCATTTTAGCAGATTGTTTGATTTCTTGGCATATAGCATTATTAAGCATAAAATATCGTATTTGACGGCATATAAGACACACATTTTTTTTTCTCCTAAATTTGGTCTCAAAAAAGTTACCTGCCTCTTAAACGTGAAGGACGGAGGTTAACTTTCAACACTGAATGCTATTTTTAGCCCGGATAAAGTTCTAGACACACATAACTTTTTCTACATCTGCCATAATTACTTTGCGCATGCATGAAATATCTGTTGCCAAAAAGTACCAATACTCGAAACTGATGTCGAAGTTCAAACAGGTTCAACGATCACATTACATCTATGGAGCCTTTCCTTCTTTACATAGACTTTCTATGACTCAGCTGGTACACGTGTAGGTATCGGTATTACTCTGTATAAACGTGTTGGTATTGGTGCTTAAAACTATTTGTTTAAAAGAAATACCCTGGAAAAAATGACTACAGGAAACAAGAGATTAAGCTATACAATTCAGTATAAACTAGGAGTGTTAAACTACTCCAAAGTGCATGGAAACAGAGCAGCAGCAAGGCATTTCGGTCCACCACATACCGAAAAAATTATACGTTCTTGGCGACTGCAGGAAGATCAACTGAAGACTGCTAAAAAACAAAAACATAACCTTCGATGCCCAGCTCCATCTTGGCCTGAATTTGAAAATGCCGTAAAAATGTGGGTAATAGATAAGAGGAAATCTGGGACAAGTGTTTCAACCAAAATGCTAATCAATGAGGCCAAAGGATTTGCAGAAAAACATGGGAATCAGAACTTTTCAGGGTCTGAGGGTTGGTGCTACAGGTTCATGAAAAGGCACAGCTTATCAATGCGCACAAAACAACTATTTCACAGAAAATGCCAGCAGATTATGAAGAAAAAATACTAGCATTTCATAGGTTTCTTTCATAGGTAAGAAAACTTCTTTTTGAGCTCGGTCAAATAGGAAATATGAATGAAATTCCACTCACATTTGATTTTACCATCCAACAAGACTGTGAGTATTAAAGGGTCTAAATCAATAACCATAAAAACCACAGGTCATGAAAAAACCCGATATACGGTAGTTCTAACATGTTGTGCTAATGGCACAAAACTACCGCCATTTTTCATATTCAAAAGAAAAACACATCCAAAAGAAAAACTTCCAACAGGTGTAATTGTTGATGTTCATCCGAAAGGCCGGATGGACGAAGCTGGAATGAAACTGTGGTTACATTTCAGCTTCGTCCATCCAGCCTTTCGGATGAACCAGTCTTTCGGATTATATGGGCGAGGTGACCTGGTAGACTCTTAAGAAAACCCTCTCTTTTGGTTTTGGATCAGTTTAGCCATAGAGAACCATGAAGAAACCATAAAGAATAAAGCGAGAGAATTAAAAACCCAGATAGCTATCATTCCTGGTGGACTGACTAGCCAATTGCAGTCTTTAGATGTATTGGTGAATAAGCCATTTAAGGAAAAAGTGCGAGAACGATTGAACAAGTAGATAGGAGAGCCACATCACACCCTCACACCCTCAGGTAGAATGAAGCGACCCTCTATTTCACAAGTGTGCAAGTGAGTAAAAAGATCTTGGGAGGATGTAAAGACTGAAGTAATTGTTAAGTCCTTTAAGAAGTGCGGAATCAGTAATGCTCTTAACAGAACAGAAGACGACGCATTATTCGAAGAAGGTGATACTAGCGATGACGGAAACAGTAGTGATGACGATATTCTCGTTTTCGATGATGATGATAGTGAAAAGGATTCTTATGGTTTTGAAAGTGATTAAAGTCTAATTTCATGATAGGCAACGTTTTTCTTGAATCTGTGTTTTTTGTTGTTTCTGCTTTATTTTGTATTATGTTTGATTGCTTGCTGTTCATTCATTTATTCATTATTGAAATTTTTATCATGTTCAAAATAGCTTGCCGTTTGTTAATTTTCCTTAATAAAAATATGTTCGGTAATTGCATTCAATGATTGTTTATTTGGCTTTCACGAAACGGGAGAACTAAAAGAAACCACATTTTAAGTTATTGTGGTACTGCGCTATCGTGTGGACTATTGAAACTTTTTTCCCTTGTGTGTGGCCTTCTAAATAAGGGTGTGTCTTATATACCGTCAAATACGGTATACTATGCATTGCTAAGCTGGACTAAACATGAAAGGTGAATATATAGAAGAGATGGCCAAATTTCATATCAGTAGGACCTGCATGTTGGAATTCAGGAAAGTTCTAGAGCAACTAGATTTTCATTTTAAAATTAATATTTTTGTTAAAGATTTGAAATGGGGGAAAAAAAGCCTGCAGTACATTAATAAGAAATTCATAATTTTAAGAAAAGAATGTGTTTATATATAGAAATGTTATTCTTACTTCTCTATCCTTAAGAAAATATTTTCTTATAAGGTACTCATGTGAGACTATTTTAAAATGCTTAAAAAAAAAAAAAAAAAAAAAAAAAAAAAACCTTTTCTTTTAATCCTTTTTTCTTTTTATATAACTGTTGAATGGTTTAAGTAGATGCAAGCTGAAATTATAAGATCTAATGGCCTTTATGAGAACAAAAACGTAAATAATTTAGCTTTCCGCCCACGCAATTAATACAATAACCATCATATCGAGATCTAATTTAATCTTACATAATTAAATTAATTCCTTAGACGTGAACTGAATTTTATCACTTACATTTTTCTTGGAATGGCACATTTGAATCCTGAGATTATGTTAAGTGATTTAAGACAAAGTAACTCGATGGATGGCTTCGTAGAGGACTTCTTAAGAACAACCGAGTCGTATCTGTTGACTTACTGTTCAGTTGTTTTCCTCATGCAAAATTAGTTCAGAGGTCAATTGGACAATTGGTCGATGTTGCATATATAGGGGGAGATCATGAAAGTGAAGGAGTTCACTTTTGTTGCTTTTATTGTAAAGGCTATTGTTACAGCCTAGTTTATTAGCTCAGAAGGCTATTAATTTCATTTTGGCATTTTGCATTGAAAACTTTAAATGTTGGTTTACTTTTCAAATTGTTGCCACGAAATATTATCGTCCTGTTTTATATTTAAAGAAATTAAATAATGAAGAATCTGCATAAATGTACGTATGTTTCTCGCATGGTGATAAACAACGTAATTAGAGCTATCAAATTTTGAATAATGTAATCTTCCACTGAATATGGGCATTTGGAAGCCCTAACTTGGACTCTGAAACTTGTGTTTTAGTATCGATTTCATATTTTGTAACACTTTAACGAATTTTTTATTAACAAACTCAACAATTTCAAAACAAGCAATGGCAATACTATCCCAGGGGGGTGCTATCTCCAGCATATGAAACTGGGTATCGGAAATTCTAAAGACATGCTCATTTTAAAATTATTTTGCGATGTTGCAGCTGAATTTAATTTTATGATTTAAGTGCAAAGACGGAAAATTTTCAGATTTTCTTTTATGCAAAAAAACTCTTTTTCCCCCCCTTTTTACTTTTATTCAAAGTTATGAAATAAAGATTGTTTTTTTTTTTTATATTAGTCCCAGCATTTATTTAAGCAAAGCAAAATATGCCTGCAGTACTAAGCAAAGTACTCCTCCAATTGCAACAGGTTATGAGCTCACCTCAGCTTAGCTTTGAAGGAATTAAGCGAAGAGGGCCGTTATCTGCAAAAGGAAATTGAAGTGTCTAGATATTGGTTTAAGTGGTTGTGGTTACACGTGGCTAAAGATGTCATTACTACCAGAAGGGTTTAAATAATT